TTATCACCATTGCCAAAATAAAGTCAGTACAAACTGGCCAGAGTGATGACTTTACTTGGATTGCTTGTTATGTACAACGTCACAATCTCATGATCTCCTTGTTTTTCAGCCTTGTATTTCGCCATGTGAATCACTTTAAGCAGTATTCCTCATCTTGAACAGTTGATAGATGGAAACATGGTCGATCAAGATTATTGCATTAATTTTGAGCTTGTTAAGAAACAACTGCGAAGTTTAAAAAATGATAAGGCTCCTGGGCCAGATAATGATCCTCAAGGGTTTTGAAAGAGGTTAAGGATTGAATATGTGAGATACTTGGTATTATTTTTTGCAAGTACTTGAATAGTAGACAGGTGCCAAAGGATTGGAAATTAGCTAATGTCACTCCTCTTTTCAAGGGAGGTAATAAAAACTGTCCCAGTAATCATAGGCCTGTTAGTCTGATAAAAAATGCTTTGCAAAGTCATTTAACAAAGCTAAGACAGTTATATTTTCCTAACAGGGTAGTTGGCCTCTGGAATGGATTGCCTTCGGATATTGCGGGGGCAGTAAATTTAAGAATTTAATAGCTATATGAATGATAAGGGCTAGCTTTAAGATTTCAAAACTTTATTTATTTAATAGTTTTAGTTTAGAAGATGGGATAGCAGAGATGGACCATTAGATCCTTTGTTGTCCCTAAACATTATGTTATGTTATACGTACATTAGTGGAGTGTGTTCAGCGGCATATCACAGCTTGAATCATGTACTATCCAATATGCAGCCATGTTTAACCATATGATATCAAAACCTCGAAAGATATAATTAAAATTCTGTCATGTTACTCTGATATTTCATACAATTATAGATGCCGCCACCATATTTTATCGGTTTCTGTTCTAAAAATGGCAGCAACAAGGAGATTACAAAAGGTTAGTATATGATAATGCAAAGTACACGGTTTTATAGTTATTTTTTTAATAACAGAATATATTTTCTATTATAAATTTGTGTTATATAAAAATTATGATGAAGTTAAAGTAATATTGTATCAAATGTAAGTAACGGTTAATATTAATTGTACCTAGCCTAGGAACTAATGTAGGCCTAAAAAGTAAAAGGCTAAATTAAAATCTTAACTATATACATAAATAACAAAGCATTCTTCTAGCTTGAACAACATTTCGAAGAGAAGGAAAGTCTGTAGTATTTTTAAAGGCAGATTGTGAGGAATTACATAATCATTATTTTTTCCTTCAGATAATGAAAATTGAAATATAAGGTCTGTTGGAACTTGGTCATGTCAGTACACATTTATTAAGTTTCAAGTTACATTTACATACCTTCTTAGTTCTATAATAATAACTTACGAGTTTCGTAAATAAATTTTGTGTAATAATCTTGTCTAAGCTTAAACTATAATGGTTAATGTAACTCAACAGTAACATGCTTTGTGGAGGTGGTTATTGTTGATTGGCATGTGACGTAGGTATTGTTAATGTGTTTAGAATTTATATGTAAATACATATAATTTTTAGTAATTAAGTCTGGTAAAGAGCATATACTTAGATCAAAGCAAATAAATCTGTGTTCATTATAAACATATAACTTTTTCCAGTATTTCTTTAAATATGTTACTGTGTTTTGCAATCTCTTCCTCCAACATACTGTTCAAAAAGCTATATACATGATGGATGTTTTACGTGGTGAATGTCCAATGGCTATGGATATATACACATAGGCCAAAGATATTGCTAACAGTGAGGGCACCTAACCTGATAAAAAAATACATTATAATTTTTATAAGAGAATGTAAAAAAGAAAAAATACATATTTAATTAGCTATACCATGGTGATTTTTTTATTTACTTTCAAAAGCTAAAAACAAATCTAAAAAACATTTCACTTCATATAAGAAAACATAAGAAAGAAATTATTCCAACAGGTTCGAATCTAACACCCTACCCCACAATACAGAAGCTAATGCCTTTGGCTATTACACAACATAGCCTCACTAAGTGTTGTGAAAGGTGAATACTTGTGAACACAAGCAACCATAATGTAGTGTAAATTTATTTCACTTCTGTATTTCTTTTCATTGTTAAGTGCATCTTGTTCGCCTCAAGTTTTTACATACACATGAGCTAGCAAGTTCTGAAAACATATAACTGTCACTCGTTTCATTTTTCTATTAAACCTGCAGAAGAACAGTTGTATAAAATGTCATTGGATATAATAAATGTATTTTCATTTCAATGTTGTGTTTTTATAGTGATTTTATTTCATTGCATTTATTTGTTATCTTTGGGTATGGTACATGTAAATTATCCACAATTACTACTGTCCTGGTCTATTTTAATTGAAAATCAATTCATGCAACTCTGTAGTAAAAAAAAAAGAGGCTTTCAGCCTATAAAACATAGGCTTTAAGGGAAGTAAGTATGCTGTAAGAATGGAAGAAACAATGCATATTTGTAAAATAATAGATATTAAATTAAAAAACTGAAAGTAACTTAATTGTTTATTTGATAGAATGCATGAAAAGTGTTCTCTTTTTTTTAATAGTGGTGGATAGTGCAATGTAATAATGTTTATTTTATTTTTTAAAATTCTACCTGCCTACCATAATTATTCCTGGCAGTGTCACCATAAACATAAATTTTTCTTTTGTCTAATGCCAGTAAGCATCTTTTCTTTACTGAAATTCACATTTTGGTAAGGAAAAGAAATAAGTAAATAATCAATTAGTAAAAATAATGATTTGAGTGGATATTTTTGAAATTTGAATGTACTTGTATGTGATCATGTCTCACTTATAGACAAAATGCTATTTCAAGAACTTTGTATGTGGTTAAATTATGTTCTGATGTATGCATTTTAGAATACAAAAAATATTTCAAGCACTAGAATAGAATGTCTCAGAACTACTATAATTTATCTGGCTTTCTAACTAACCTATAAATAGGTTTAAAATATTATATTTGTGCTTGAAGCAATGTCTATAGTGAAGCTCTCCCAGTGAACTATTGGCTTTGATTGGCAAAACATAACTGACAAGAGTTAAAAATCTATAAATGAGAAGTCAGAGCATTACTGTGTCATGTGACTCAGAGGTGCAGATTGATAGTTTTTTTTTAATATTTCATGTTGAAATTAAGACATGGAAAGTTAGATAAAATAAAAATGTTAACTATATATTATGTTTTGATGTCAGGTTTATTAACATACATTAATAATAAATTAGACATTAAATTTTGAATGTAACTTTGTTAAAAATGGTTGTGACTTGTGCATTTTGCCTCTGACCCTCCTGTGTCTGAAAGGTTAAGCATGCTGGGAAATAATATTTGGAAAGCTTTGCGTGACTTTATTAAAGAATGTTTAAGTTTAGATTGTAGACAGGGAAACCTTTTATCTTGAGAGCCAGTTTTGTGGATTTTGGAGGACATAAGATGAACAAAATGATTAGTAATATTGAAAATAAATTTATCTTATTTTATGCCTACAGTATAAGGCTTTGCAGTAAACTGTTATAACTGGAAGCCTTGGTGGAAGCTAACATGTTAGATACAAGTGTGATTAGCAGTCATTGTTAAATGAAGATCATGATGTCTTTCATAGAGAACATATCAATTTTTTTTGTTTGTTTGTTAGAAGTAATATCTGAGGTTTAAAAAATGTGAAGTGTATTTGAATTAAGTTTATTGAAAGAAAAGATACTTACTGGTGTTTTCTATAAGTTTCCTGTTCCAGATATTGACATTTGTAGGAGCATTTACAGGCAGCTTAGTTAAGTTGTCAACAGAAACAGGCTTGTTATTATTTTATTATTAGGGGCTAATCTTGTGTTAGAAAAGAAACAGACACCAAAATTTAAAACCTTTCTTATTAGCTTAAACAACTTAAAACCGAATTTCACTGTAGTAGCCTGTCACTCTCTCCAATGTGACGATATACTTGTTATAGTAAGGGAACCAGAATTTCACACCACTGTCTTCTCAGTGTGGGACTCTAAGATATCTCTTCTGTGAAGAGGGGAGTAATGTTTATGAAATTAACATTTTCCTTACCTGTAAACGTATTTCAGATATATGCCTCACCAAAGAACCACCAATCCTTTCCACTTCCTGTCTTTTTTTGCCTCATCAAGAATGAACATTTGATAACAAAAAATGTTCAAGGAGAGTGCTGCACTTGGAGCATGTGTCATCCTCTTATTGGTGAAGGATTTATGGTCTAATGCTGATTGCATCATAGAGTGGCACAGTATAGGTTATTATGTGTAGGGACGGGAGTTTCATTGAAAGGCTTGATACATTTGCAAAAATTTTTGGCAGTGGCATGAGGTATTTGCTATCTGTTTGGTGGATAGGTGAATATCTATCTGAAATAAATTTTCACATAAAGAAAATTTTAACTTCATATAATTATAAGCATAATTTGTATAATAGTGGTACTATGTTAATAATACATAACATTTATTATGGATAAACAGATCAATTTTGGTGATAAATGACAGTGACAATTACATTTTGTTCCTTACATTGGTTAATTTAGTTTATTGTAATGTACTTTAAGATAGAGAGAGAGTATATGTAAACAACTGAGGACACTTGTAGCGGCAACAATTGAGCAGGGTAATAATTATGTAGCTTGTACATATGTCTTACTATAGTCCTTCCTCTAAATTTAACCAAACTGAGAATATATAAATAATTACTATTTGGTACTATACACATGACATATGAAAATTAACATTTGCTAGTAAAAAGAATAACACTGTGAATGTAAATTTTTGTTCAGATATTTTATGTTCGCACTGCTTTTTTCACTTAGGAACTCCAGGATATAAGAAAGTCATCCACAAAATCATTCCGAAACATACAAGTAGATGAAAACAACATCTTAGTGTGGCAGGGACTAATATTACCTGTAAGTAGTGATTGGAATGGATACTTTTATTATTTTGTTTCATTTATCAAATGTTTGAACACCTGGATAACAAAGCTCATTTTTCATATCCTATATCTTAAGTATAGATGGGTTGTGTTTCTATCATTAGTCATTATAAGGTAAAGCAGAGGTCATATGTCAATAAATAAAAGAACCATTACTATTTTAGTGTGGTAATTACTTTACCTTTCCTACAGGATAATCCTCCATACAATAAAGGAGCTTTCCGTATAGAGATAAACTTTCCTGCAGAATACCCATTTAAGCCTCCAAAGATTACATTTCGTACAAAGATCTACCACCCAAATATTGATGAAAAAGGCCAGGTGTGTCTACCCATCATTAGTGCTGAACACTGGAAACCAGCCACAAAGACAGATCAAGGTAAAGGGGTTAACATAGATATATTTATTTTTAATGTAATAGTTAAATAGATAACGTATTTTATACTTGTGCAGCAAGTTACAATATCAAATCAGTTTTGCAAGATTTCTTTTAAGAAATTAGTCAGAAACTGAATTCTGTACTATACTATAATACCTATACCAAACCGTAAAAAAAACCCATTAGGACACTCACCCATAGTACCTGAGCACATGTAGCAGATTTTTGAGTGAAGGTATGAAAACAGTTTTAAACATGGTGTCCTGGGATCCCAAGGGGGACAGAAATACAAAATATAATGCCAGATTTGGATTCAACCACTCTTAAAACCTACTCTCAGATCCCCATTTTGCCTGGGCATTTTACTCACTCTGGTACTGAACAGGGGCTACACCATATAGATAAGGATACCCCTGGACCATCCCAGTTCACCTGCTAACTCTAGAACTATGGGTGAGTTTTCATGTGATAGAATAATGCTTTTATACAAAGGTATACATGTAAATAATAATCCTTGGCATCAGAAATATATCTGGGTCTGAATATTGAAAGTAATACTTACACTTCAAAGTGTTTAAAATTTACATAATCGTACAATGAGTTACAATTGTTTTGATTGGTTCTGTTTTCAGATATGAACTTAGATATTATAGTAAGTTTTTGATGTTCTGTGTGTTTTCTGACTTTAGTAATTCAAGCACTAGTAGCTCTAGTCAATGATCCAGAACCTGAACATCCTTTAAGAGCAGATTTAGCTGAAGAATATACCAAGGACAAGAAGAAGTTCTTGAAGAATGCTGAGGAATTTACAAAAAAGTTTTCTGAGAAAAGGCCAGCCGATTAAGCAAAAACTTCTATTCAGGCATCATATAAAGAACACATAAACCCATTATATTGAATCAACAAAATTGTGCTCAACATTACATGGTAATGGATTCCAAAATGACTGCCAATCAATCAGCACCTGAGAAAGAAGTTTACTTGCCATTTAGAGGAAACTCATACCACCTATGTATTTTTTACTGGTTTGGATCCTGAATCAGCTGTTGTGATAATATCAAGTGGAAATTTCTGATGATGTTTACCTTCTTATGGTTGATACATTTTCAATTTAGTTTTTTTTTTTTGTTAATATAAGTTGTATTAAAGAGCACATTTATACATTAGGTAAGTCAGTTACTTATATGCTGATAGCTGGTTCGTTGTGGAATCCAGTGGATATTAATAATTAAAGGTTTTAACTTAATAATGTTAAACTTTTGTTTATTTTCTCCACTCTTAAAGTAACTTGGAAATCTTTACCTTTTTTTTTTTTGAGTAAGAAAGTGCATGTCTGCAAAATGTGTGTAACTTAGTAATACCAAACGTTTAGTCACCTAATTATTTAGGCAGACATTAGGAGAGATAAGGTGTAATTAGACTGCAGTAGTGTTTTTTGCACTTGTAAATAGGTAAAAAGAAGCTTGGGATAGTATTGCTACAGGATCTTTCATGACATATGTAATCTCAGTTTTGTAGTAATTCTTACTCTAGTTTAGAGCAATATATTAATTTAAGATTTTTTTTTTTACAGCTTTCATCAAATTGATGATGTCTTTACTATGTAAATGTAGGTCCAGTTTTGTTATGGCTATTCTAACATAATTTTAACTGAGTAACTTTTCTGTTTATAATAAAAGTTCAGTTGACAAAGGTTGAGCTAAGGTTTAAAACTGTTTATTATGAAGCCATTGGTAACCAAAAATTGTGTACATGCTAAAGGATCATGCAGACAGTGTGATTAAACATTTTAAGAGAAGGGTATAAAAAAAAATGTTCACATACCTTATTTGTTAAACTTTTTTCAGTTTAGGGATTGGAAACTTACTAAAGCCTCCAATGACCCTCGTTTATGTATGTTTCATTAGCCTTGATATTTGACTAGGCCCCTTCTGTGTGATTGTCATCTGGTTATCCACATGCAGGACAAGACCACTTTACAGTTTTGGGCAAAAAAACACTCGCAGAGCAGAGAACACTGTTAACTAACACAATCACAGCAATTGCTGAACATTCTGAATAGATACCAGCATAGCCCATGGCAAGCAGTTGGCAAAGTTTGGTTACTTATGACCCTAAAGCTTAAACTTCATTTTCTGAAAATCACAGTGTAATGCTCCTGCTCTTATGAGTATGTTGTTGGCATTGTTATAAATTCTGTACAACACTACATATGAAGCTTCATTCAGTATTCATTGAGAGATATCATCTCTGGGGGACTTGCTAGCATTCAAAACTTTAAGAGAATACAAATTATCTGTGGGGAAGCAGTTCATGCAAGTTATCAATTAAATCAGATCTAGATATGGTGTGCCAATTTTTCACACAGGCAGAATGTTTTGCATAATATGTGCTTTGCATTAACATGGCCTCTCAATTAATGTCTTGTTTGTTATTTAACACAAATAAATTCAGTTAAGAAAACTGATATTCTGTACTGTTAAATACTAAAAAGTTAATTATATATGTGTTGAAAATGTGATTTTACTATTAACATGATATAGGCACAGCTAAACATGAGAAACTGATATTGCAGTAAATTTACCTGAATTATGGTACTTAATTTTATTTCAATGGTCATAATTAGTGATTTGTGTACATTTATATGTGCATCTGATAGTAAATAGAAATGGTTATTATCAGTGACTTCTGATCAAAACGAGCTACCTAACCGATCAGAACTAAAAATTAACCCAGTGCTTAATGTAGCTAATTTAATATACTTGCTTAATTAGGAATATGCAGTAAACTTCTAATCATTAGAGTGTGTTTGTTCATCAGTTGGGATCCCTAACTGTTATCAATAATCTAAAATGGTAGAAAGAATGCTGATTTTGATAAAATCTATTTATAATGATGTTGTTATTGAAGTGTACCACAGAATAATGTGAGATATGTCTATATATATATAAATAATTGTATTTATTTTGTTGGTTTTTAAGAAGAGCTTTGACATGACTTTGGTTTCCAGATAGTGTATGTAGAACCTACATGTAAGAAAAAAATTTAGATAATCCTTATTGGCTACAGATTTCTATAATTCTGTGTAATTGTTAAGAAGAAAGTAAAGATAGTTTAAATCTCCCCAGACTTTCGTTAATAATTTTTTTTTTTAATTTTACATTTTCAAATGTTCTCGTATTTCATTAATAAATGCTCATATTTTTTCAGTACGTAGAAGGGTATGAGAACATTGTAGTTCTGAAATGATCTTACCTCATCACCCAAAGCTATCTTGATCCTGGAATGCCCTCTAACCATTGCTAAAATTTTTCACTATCAGTGCACCAGTCTTTTATGTCATTTCAGAACCTGTGACTCCCCTCCACCCTTTATACTAGCACAGCTAGCTCCCTCTACTATTCTAGAGTAATCCTCACTTTCTCAATTGGCATTCTAGTGTATAGATATTTGTTATAACTCACTGTCCATGTCACTACGAACGTTTGATTGTGCATGATCACAAATTTATATCAATTTCAACTTCTTCTGTTTCCATTGTTTCTACTCGTTTGTTTTAGAAGTATTTCTTTTTCCACATTCTAACGTGTTAATATAGTGGATGATGTACTTCCCACAATTGGTTCTGACACGAGTCCTCAGATCTCAGGGTCAACCACATTCTAAGGAAGCACAGGCTTTGGTTCATGGGGTGTTCATGTCTTATGCTCAGCCAACGATTTTTTCCTTTTATGATACAAAGTTTTGAGAGAAAGGATATAACTATGGAGTGAAAATTTCTTTCTATGGCACTTTCCACCTGTTACCATGCCTCCATGTAATCTCCTGGGGTAGGTATTGTTCTTTTTCCTGGGAGATCTGTGGTAAATTTTCAGCATGTATTCCTCACTCCCATATACCCATGTTTGTGTGAGCTTATTGTGGATTGACCTAATTTCTGCACATGATAATTTAGGTCTTTCATGCCTTCTTTGCTCAGTATTTGGCAAGTTTGATTTTTATAGGGGTAGGTTTCACTTTTGTGTCTTATTGATTCTTTGAGTGGACTTGTAAATAAGTTCTATACTTACATGTCTTTTGTACTTTGAATGTTTCTTATCGATTTAAGTTTTAGATCAAATTTCATAGTTTTTCAAGGTTGTTAGACATGAGTACTTTCTCTAAGTAGGTTTAGTTTGTCTGTTTTTTTGCTACACTTCATGACAGTACCTGTGTGTTCTACGGGTTCTGTCTGAAGGTTTCTGCCGTCAGTTCCACTCCTTCCCTCCTCCTCAGGATTGTACTTCTTCCACTCTTGGTTTTATCATATGTTGCCTGGGTGGACTGCACTTGTTGATCACAAATTCCTTATGCACTTCCACTGGATGGAATGCACTTGGCATAATCCGACATATCCCAATATGTTTGCCCAGGCAGGCCACACTTGGCCAATTTATTTAATATTATATAACCAAGGTGCTTCCCCTGGATGTTTTTGGCCTGGTTGGACTGCACTTGTTGATTTCACAAGCTTATGCAAGTTACTTCCACTAAACGTTTTTGCCCAGATGGACTGCACTTGGCTTATACCTATACAGTTCACAGCCCTTCAGCCCTAGCCACATTTTATTTTGTTTACTCTGACACCATACCATGGCTTACTATCACTATGTTTGGTACAATGGCCCGTACATATGTGGACGATGGTATGACATGTCTTTTGACAATAGGCTGGTTACAAAAACCCACAAGAACATACTTATGTCTGTAATTTTTTCTTCATCCTATGTATCCAAGGCACTTCCCCTGAATGTTTTTCCTGGGAGGATCGCACTTGACGTACTCTGATGTTACCCAAGACACTACCTTTGGCACATACTTATACAGGCCCGTTGTCACTTCCACACTAGACTTCCCATGTTTGTTAACACCTCTTTTCCGAATGCATTGGTGCCTGCCAATTCAATTCCATCCTCTTTTTGTTCCTGTGTTAATTATTGAGTGAAGACCATACCCATTCCAGAAGTAGTGCTATACTGTACAGGTGTGTTTTCTTTTCATATTCTTGCACATCTGTTCTTTCAGTGAGGTCACTTTCTGCTTGATATTGATGTGCCTTCACTGGCCCCTCCACCTTTGGGTGAGAGTAGATAAGACCATTTCGAAATTAACATTTTCTTACACTGAAAACGTATTTCTGATAGGTACTTACCTCCACTTCCCACCGATATGCCGATGTTTCTGGTTTGTACCTGCCAATTCTCAAAAATCTAGAACAGTAGAGGGAGCTAGCTGTGTTAGTATAGAGGTCACAGTATGGTTGGTGGAGGGTAGTCACATGATCAGCACATGTTCTGAAATGGCACAAAACTGATGGGGTATAAAAGACTGGTGCACTGTTAGCAAAAAATTTTAGCAATGCTTATAGGGCAGTCCAGGATTGAGATAGCTGTGGGTGATAGGAGGTAAGTACCTATTGGAAATACAGTTTCAGTGTAAGAAAATATTAACTTTCTAGAGCCCTGTTTATTTATGTTTCACTGAACACAAACCATAAATGTACTATCTTTATGAAAAAAAACGTGATTACATCATATACTGATATTTTTCACTAACAGGAGACATTTATTTGTCAAATTCTCAAATGAAAAGTTCAACTCTTAAAAGACATTTTGAAAAAGTTGACAATTTAGCTTACAACAGTTGCCTCTTAGAAAATAGTCACTTATAAAGAAGCATTAAAACTTAAGTTTCCAGCATGGACTTGTTTCTTCTAATAGTTGTCAGTTATAACTGGGAACAGACAAGTTCATTCATACATCTTGGGAGTGGAAGCTTGTTGTGAAAGAGAGACTTTCGATGACTTCCTTATTTCAGTCACACAGAAGAATGTGTACAAAATCATTAAAGGGTTAAGCACATATATTTAAATTGGTTTTTACCTGTTATAAGACATTAGTCTTAGGCCTATTACATTTTTAATATAATCCCTTAGGGATTTTCAAAAATTACAAAAGTGTATGATAATATTTTGTCAAATACATTTCATCAATTCAAATATAATTGTAGTCAGAATTTCTTGTCACCAAGTACATGATCTCTGTAATGCTGACATTATGAAATCAGCCACTTTCTGTCATCAAAACAAAGTTTGGTTCAATGCACCTATGAAAAGTATTAAAACTGGATCCAAGTCCCATAAAACAATAAATTCACCCGTTAAAAGCAAAATAAAATCAATTACATTTATTCTGATGTTTACTCACACCATACTTCATCTGCCAACAATGTTGCACTGAGCATATTTTTAAAATCTGGCTCTCCAAACATTAGCCCACTGATCATTTGTATATAAACAGAAGCTGGATTTGTTATCAACAGTACAGGTGCTTATTTGCCAATACTTATGTTGGGAAAAAGCTGAGTGGTTGACTACTGGGCTGAAGTAGGTCTTCTCGACATCTTGCTGGATATGTAGTGTTTTTCTGAAAACTGAATCCTTCAATAAAACAGCAAAGGATCAAATCTAAAATGTGGTTCTGTCTTTTGATAGTGGTTAGTACATACGGAATGTCCAGAATAGTTTTGCATTCAAACTGTATAATATACACCTGGAAAAAAGTTAAGCACCCCCAAATATTTTTCAGGATTGCTTATTG